ATCCCGCAAATCCCGCAGTTTTGGCCAGATTCCACCACTAAAACTGTAGTGAGCACATGACAGAGCTTTCTGAGCATTAGCACTCAAGTTCTGCGGTTCGAATGGTCATTTCTCGAAGTTGGGATTGAGGCTCTTTTATCACTGTGCGACTACGCGATGTTGACTCAAGCGTTTCTCACCATACTCATTGCAAAAGCTCAGCGAATCCTAGAATTTTCATTGGAGTTAAACAAGTGCTTAAAAATTCGGTTGAAAAGGAGTTTTTTGGAATGATGCATGAGTTTTCATGCATTTGGAAGCAATAAATGCAGTATGAATTCTCTTTTCACAGGGCGACAGCTTCTAGCTGTAGCAAATGTTATATATTTTAATGCTAGTTATGCGCGAAAAATTCTAGGTTCAAGGAATGCAGTGTTGCTCGAAAATGGCAGGTGGCTTTATAGCTATGACCAGATTTCGAAATAGAATTTTTCAAAATGTTTCAATTTTTTTCAGACTAAGTCAAACGAAACTGAGAGCCGCTTTGATCAATGATGTGGCGTTGGCTTACATAAAAAATAGTTGTTTTTTGGACAGTTCCGTCCAGAAGAGGGCAAATTACAGTGAATTTTTGGAGTGGTTTTATAGCTATGGCCAGCATTGTATCCCTTCTGGGCGAACATACAAAAATTGGCTAAGCCAAATGTTAGATTGATGACTGAAACATGTCGCAGGCTATCTGGCGTGCTAAGCGACACTGTATTTGTATGTGCCTGTTAGGGGCTCTTTTGTAAGAACACTATAGATTTGCAATGTGAGGTCTCACCCTAAACAAGAAAAGAGACGTTACTCAACAAATGAATGGTAATCCTGTTTGGCAGGTCAAGTAACCTCATCATGCAGAGTTTTGGCGAATTCGAGATACCGATCCTTGAAGTTGACGTTTCTCAAGCAGTCTTGCGTGCAGCGACTCGTTCAATATGGGAGGGCGCCATCTCAACTTGTCCTCATTCCACTCTTTCTTGAGCTAAATAAGTAACCCCTAGCAATAACTCATGTACAATTTCAGATCTCTGTGCATGTTCTAAATTGGGAACGGCTTTTTTGCTTACAGTCATGAGCATAGGTGCGATAGAGTGAAATGAATCACTCCCCCTCCCCCCTCCCTCTCACTTTGGAGCCAAGGCTACCCTCCCCCTTCTTTTCACTTCGGACGGACCAAAACAATTTTTTGAGGTGAGATGATAGTGTGCATAAAGTGAAGATTTACGTCAAAAAAATCTATTTATAGAGTGCCTGAAATGAGAATGCAAATGACGAATTCTTTATAAGAAACCACTTGTTTAAGTTGAAACCGGGACTCTCCTTACTGAGACGAAGCAACTACTGAGGAAAAAAAATATTGTTTGAAGTTTTTGAGAAAGAAAAAAGATACGTTTTTGAGAAATCATATTGTAGGAAATCTATGGGACGTGCAGCACATGAACCGGTGTGGAAGGGCGGATGGTCATGAAACGAATGGCGAGATTGGAGAAGACGTGGCGTGTTGGACGAGAGTTGGAAAAAGATAATTTTTGTTGTTGTAATGTGGCTGTAAACGGAGGAAATTACCACTGTTTGCTTTTTGGATAAATAATAAATTTAAATGTTGTTCACAGTTAAAGCTGCAAATAGTACCCTATTTTCAGGTGTATAAGCCCACCCTTTTCACTTTAAAGGCGCACACGTCAAAAGACTGCTTGTTACGATGGGGCGCGTTAAGTGAGAACAATTTGCGAGAAAGCGACCACCTCGCGAGGCACAGCGCAGCGGCACGCCTGGGTCTGCTCGCGTTTAGAGCAAAAAGGGTGCTTATACACCTGAAATTAGGGTAAGTGAAGGCATGAAGTATTCAGATAAGCTCCTTCTTCGATTAGTGCAATGTAAACTGATTACAAACACCGAAGCAGGTTTGAGTCGCTAACTACACCGCCTCCCCCTTCCAAGCCAAAACCCCGTATTTCGGTGAGGGGTCTTCTCATAATCTAATTTTTCTTTTATCTTGTAGAGGAGAGCGCACTTGATATAACTTGGGCTGTCACAAAAGGATCTGCTGAAGCAGATCTTCTTGAGCTTCAAATTTACACAAAAATCGTTGCCTTTTCAACTCGTTGCTGTTGCTCTCCTTCCCTCAGCAAATCCTTTTGCGACAGCCCAGGTTATATCAAGTGCGCTCTCCTCTACAAGATAAAAAAGAAATCAGATTATGAGAGGACCCTCCCACCGAGATATGGGGTTTTGGCTTAGAGGGGGTATAGTTCGCAACTCAAACCTGCTTCGGAGTCTGTGATCAGTTTACATTGTACTAATCAGAGAAAGAGCTTGCCTGAATACTTAATGCCTTCACTTACTATCTGCAGCTTCAACTGTGGACAACTTTTCTATTATTATTTATCCAAAAAACAAAACACATTGTGATTTCTTCCAATTTAAGCCACATTACAACAACAAAAATTATCTTTTTCCAGCTCTTTGTTCAACACGCCCACGTCTTCTCCAATCTAGCCATTCGTTTCATGACCATGCGCTCCCCCATACCGACTCATGTTGTGCTTGTTTCATAAGTTTCCTATATAATTTCCAGAAACGTATCTCTCAACTTCAGACTAAGTATTTTCTCGCCTCAGCAGCTGCTTCGTCTCAGTGAAGGGGTCCCGATTTCAACTTTAAAAAAATTTCTGGCTGGGAATTCGTCCTCATTCTCGTTCCATACACTGTATAAGTATTGAAAACAAAATACTATGTTTTCACTTTCATAATAATTAATATAAGTTCATCATCAAAAAAACAATATAAATTCAGTTCAAAAGCTTGGGTTTTGAACTGAATAATTTTGTTTTTTTTTTCATTTTTTATATTATTTATTATTATTATTTATCATTATTTAATATTTGTTTATTTAAATTCCCCACCCCGGTCAATGTCCGCACTTCTTGGACAACCTTCACTTTTGGGGGTCAAAAACAGCCGGGACCCCCCTCACTGTAGGGGATACCCATCTCAGACCATCGTACCTTGGTCATACGGATCCTTGAACTTTATTAGTTTTCAAAAAAACCTTCATTTTCCTATTTCGTCATCGGAAAGCGAGCGGTTTGCGCCAGTTTGTAGCTCACACGACAATCTAAAAAGCTTATCAATCACAGTGCCGGGGCATAGCATCTCCGCTTCCGCGCGGACGCCTCGCCTTCACTATCCCACAACGAGCGTGGGAAAGGCGGAGCCTCAACTGATTGTAAATGATTAAGAGCATGTTCGCGAAACAGGTACAAGTCCTAGGCGAGGCGACCGCGCGTGACAGAAGATGCTGGTGCTGCGATTGATAAGCCCTGTACACAATACCAAAAGGCAAGCACGCCAATATCTCAAAAAGCGTGAAATTATGGATTCAGTTGCAACAGTTAACAACCTTACATATTGCTCCAAGGTTGTGCACCGTTATTCTCTAAAGCTTGGTTTGTACTGTTATTGGTTCACGTTTTGCGCGGAATGCAGCATTATTGCGTCCACTGAAACTACTTTATGAATGAAGAGACAGCTGACGAAAAGTGCAGTGCAAAACTCCGCGCCCGGCGCGGGCGGCCATACAACTAAGTGTCTAGATGTATTCGTATGTCACAATCGCCGCGAGTATCTGACGATGTTGCAAAAGAAGCGCCAGATAAAAGCACTTGAACATGCTACCTACCGCTTCATATTCACAGTCACATACCACTCGGCCTACCTGGCTTCTGCAATTGTTGCAGCCTTATCTCTAAACTAATGAAGGTTACCTAACTTAGCTTGATCTTTAGGGGAACATATATGTTGAATAAGCTTTAAACGCTGATTTCAAATATGCTATTCCTGACTGCCGCGCACCATTCCAAAGCGAGTTATTGGCTTTGTCTTGCGCAAAAGTGGTATACCACTGAGCAAGGGAAGTCGGCCTGTAGATAAAAATCTGCAAGAGATAAATGCTGAGGTATCGCGATGACACAATCCAATCTTTTCTCACTGAAAAGAAGCTTAGCGCAAGTGTACTAGCGTTTAGGTGATGATGCCGTGATGCCAGTGAGTCGATGAGTATGCCAATTTCGCGCAGGAAAAAGTCCATAACTCGCTTCGGAATGATACTCGGCAGCTAGGAATAACATATTTGAATTCAGCGTTTGAAGTTGATTTAGGAGATATGTATCCCCTGCTAAAAGGCCGAGCTAAGTTAGGTAGCTTTCCTGTTAAGACGCGCCTGACAACCACAGTTTTAAAATTTTGTCCAAGTTTTCCAGCAAGGGTTCGCAGGAGATACCGAGGTCAGATATGATATTGGTACCCGATAATTACCACATACTTTACTTCGATTCTTCAAAAATCACTGCAGTTTGCTTCCTTTCCCTATGGTTTTGTAGTGGTACTTTTTCAGCTTACTTCTGCACAATCTGTTTACATAATTTGCTAAAACTTTAGGGACAGGGCCGGCACGAAGGTGGCAATCGGGTCTGTAAAAAACGATTGACTCTCTCTTTGACACTGTTAATTCTTGCAACTTTGGCAACTTTATTACGTAGTCATTTGTCAGCATGCTCAAGGCGTTCTGAGTTGAAATGGCAAATGGCGGAAAAACAGTAGTTTCATGTTCGATTGAGCCACTGCTTTTTAGAAAGGCCAAGAAAAGTGAACATAGTTCTTTGTAGATTGTCTGTCAATCTGTACATCAAACAGGACCAAATCATACTGCAATAGCTGCGAAAACTATCTTTCAAATTTGTGTCCATATTGATTAAAAAGATGCTCCAACATCTCTGAGGAACTATTAATCTTTGTTGAATCTTCGCCCCTTCGCTGCCAACGCATAAAATTTTTACAAATTGTTGCATTGAAAGAGCATGACAATGGTTACACTTATGAGAACTTGCATAAACTTTACTTTGCTGGGTTATTACTCGCGCCATATGCTGTTGCCATATGATCTGTCATGATGTTTCCAAATGAAGCAAACTTACCTGGACCAGTTGTGTTTGTCTGCGGAAGCGACCTAAAACATAATCTGTTAGACTTTTCCGACTCACTTTTCCCGTTTGGCAACAGCCAAAAAATCACACCACATCTAATTCGTAGTTCGCAAAGGTTTCTTATACCGCTTGCATTGTCGCTCCAAAAGTTTATGTAGGTTTTCCGAACTGTCATTGAAACAAGTGTAGAAGTGGGTAATTTCAAATACATTTGACGCAGCTTTTTCCTTGTTTTCAACGGTCATGTTTCCGAACAATTGATCTTGTTCACTGAGATAGTAATTAATGAAATTTCAAACTCATTTTCTACAATGCCGTTCTTTAGCAATTATCTATTCTCATTTTTGTCCTTTAGAGGTGTTTCAATGATTGATGAGTGAAGTAAACAAAATGCAATGCACTAGTTTTTTCGTAGGTCCAAAGAACGGTATTGACTAGGGTCAAACGTGAGTTGTAGCAGGCCACACCTGGATAGGGTGGGGTCGTAATAAGGACTCAAAAGAGAAGCGAATCATTGAGGGGTTACTGTGCGACAATGAAATTCGCGTCAACAATTATGACTTATAATAAGCCGCTTATTTGTCGGTCTGTAAGTCTGTCTGTTACAAAAATACAGTGAGGAATGATTCACAATACACTGCAGCATGTGAGGTTCTGATAGCGAGCATGGTTCATTTTCAATTAATCGTAAGTTTATCATCGTTTCTTGATGGCCAGTGCGACTGATCGCACTGGAATGATATCCACGAAAGTCCCCGCGAAATGGGCTTTTCGTGCGAATAAAATGAACTTAGTCCATGCAATGCGATAAGATATCGCATTCGCGAATCCATTCATTCCATACAAAACTTCTTCAGCAAACCTTTCTCCAACTTGTCTCAACCTGTTTACTCATTCTTGCAAACTCATTCCCACTAGGTAGTCGGTATCTGACTAAGTTGTCCTAACATTACAATGTCAGTCGCGTGGATTTTCTACTCTTTCCCACTTCGTTACATCTCACAAAATACCATTTCTTATCGATAACTATGCATTTAAATTAACTCCAAGAATAAAATTCATATCCGGGCCCTTGCTTCTCGAGACTTCCATGGATCTGCACTGAATCAAATTCTTATGTAAAGCTCTTGCGAAAAGCAAACGTTGGCTAAACTTGCGCTGCAATCTGTAAATCAAAATTCTTATCTTATAGAAAACTTTGTGCTACACTACAACCCAAGGGGGTTTTTTAGCCATGATACGAATCTGCAAGAGATAACTTCGCAAAATTTCTCTAGCTTTTCTTTGTCTATCAGCATTAATGTTTACATCTCTAAATAGTTGAATGTAAGGACTATTGCTAGTAGGAAATTTTTCAAAGGAATTTTCTCGCTAGCTAGCGCCATTTCAGTAATTCCTGCGACCAAACTCAAAATCGCATTTGAAATGCGTTCTTTGGGGTTCGGTTCTGCGCGATTAGTCAAAAGTTAGCTTCTGAGTAATTATATTGAAACGCAAATCTTTTTTATTTTCAAATACGGATCATGAGTTCAGTTTTGGTTGATGATTGAAGAGTTAACAAACTTTATCTGATTTACATAGGAATTTTCGCATCGATGTAATATTTGAAAGCATTTGAGTTTTTCAGCATTTATTCTGGTATTTAACCTTCTTCCATGATTTTCATAGCGTTTGTATAAGTTTGGAAAAAAACACTTATTTCAGCCTTCATAAAGGACAAGTAACTTTTTCCACTCACTTGTTACCTTAGAATGGGTTAAGGAACACATCCACAAAAAATCGCAAACAAAAATATGCAAAAAGGTCAAAAATGGACTTAGTCCCAGCTCACCTTGCTGCTGGGAGTAAAATGGGCTTTCAAGTCCATTTAAAATGGAGGTAAATCCCATTTTTCCCCATTCTAAATGGACTTATGACGTCATCTTTTGTAAGCGAGAGCTAAAGTAGGGTTGAATCATCATCACACCGCATTGCCTCGTGGTTGCAATGAGATAAAAATTTTTGGAAAACGCTAGCGAAAGCAGATTCCGACCAATTTCTACCGCGAACGAATAAAATAGGGTTTGGAAGTCCATCTTCCTCCATTACGGACTTTCGTGGATATCATTCCAGTGGCCGTATTCATCATCGATACCTTGAGGTAAATTCTACCTCCAGGTAGTTTTATCACTCATTATCAGCAAAATTGCATTGAGAATTTACCTCAAGGTACTTTGTGAATACGGGTTCTTGCTGATAATGAGTGATAAAACTACCTGGAGGTAGAATTTACCTCAAGGTATCAATGATGAATACGGCCACAGGTCTCAGATAAGCTCATTCTGCAAAACCAGTGCGAAGCAGAGGCTCGCACTGGCTCTTCTATCTATATGCCATGCAATACTCATTCCCGCATAAAATGGCATTGAAACATACTGCGAAATGCGCGCCTTCACGAGTAATTCGTAAACAACAACTCATTCCTTAAGCTTTTTCGTGTGATGTGTGGATGAAATTTTGGAAGATAAGAACAAATGCAGAATTAGGACACTTCTCAGTTTTTTCATGGCTTGGTAATTGCCGTAAGGATGATAACTACGGCGAGCTACATCCCCGTGCAAAAATCTTCTCAAATGTTCTAAAAATCTGGCAAAGTGACCATTTACGCAAATAATTCGTTTTAGCGCCTTTTCCGTGGAGCAATAGACTTCCATCACTTTTTTGGGCTAAAAATCATGGCTTGCACATCCACCTGCCAAACATAATCACTACTTTGCATTAAGTGGTGATACGGACTCATATTGCGCGGCAGACGTTAAGTGGACCCGCTTGGGGTATTTTTTAGGGAACCTACTCAATGGATCTGCTCGTGCTTTGGCATAGTGAGTCTGGATGGTGGCAGTGCGTGTTGTGCAAAGAACTGCGGCTTGAAACCTTGTTTGCGACTCGTTCTGTGAATTTCATTACAGACAGCCAGACAAACAGACACACACAAAAAAACACGTAAACACCCTTAGCCCGTTATTATAAACCAGTGCATCACCTCCGCTTCGCAGAGGCTCGCACTGGCTCTTTTATCTATGTGCCTTACTCTCTCGTAAAATCGTGGCATTGGAACTCACCGCGCTATGCCGACTATCACGAATAAAGTGTAAACAACTACTCATTCAGAAAGCTTTTTCACGTGAGATCGGTGATTTCGCGTGGATGAAACTTTTCGCAGTATGACAAACGCAAATCTGAGTAGGTTTTTGAATTTGTCACGGCTTGGTAGTAGCCATAAAGGCAATAGTCACGGTGAGCTACATTCTGTGCGAAAATCTTCTCAAATGCTGCTTGCTGGAACCTTGGCAAATTGACCATTTATGCAACCAATTCTTTTTAGCGCCGTTTTCGTTTTATAGTAAACTTTTGACCACTTTTCAGACTAAAGTCCGTCGCTTGCACATTTGCTTACCAAATACATCCACGACTTTGCAAAAAGTGGTGAAACGGAGCCAATTTTGCGGGACAGAAGCCAAGTGGATTCGTTTGGCGCGCAGTTTCTGAGGGATTCACTCAACGAATCTACTCGTGCCTTTGCATGTTGAACTTTCATGAAGATAGCATGCGCTATGCAAAATTTGGGCTTAGAATGGTGGCTAGAACACGCTGTACGAATTTCGTAACACACACACAGACACACACATACACACACACACACATACGCACACACACACATACACACACATACACACACACACATACACACACACATACACACACACATACACACACACAAACACAAACACACACAAACACACACACACAAACACAAACACACACACAAACACACGCACACAAACACACACACACACATAAACAACCCTTAGCCCGTTATTATAAGGTATTAATCATCATACAAACATACTGGAATATTGGTCTTCCATCGTCTAGTATAAAAGCATAATAGAAAAGCCCTACCAAGCACAAAGTATTTTTGTAGTTTTCATGTTGAATAACCCCTATGGACGAAGAGTTTAAGTGAATGGAGTTTTCCAAATATTGGGCTACCAAGTGAATTAGTCATCAAACGTGATCCTCCTTTTTAAAGGTGAGAGTTATTTTCTTTTGCACTCACTAAAAAGTACTACTCTTTCTTTGCAAAGCTCTGCCCACGATTCCAGCGTCAGGCTGCTCACCCAAAAGGAAGCAAGCGACAAGCCGGCTGAAGAAGACACCACGTCGCATCACATGCTCTTTTATGTCTCAACAGAATTCTCGTACAAAAGCTAGGGCGTTCCCCGGAGGCGACGCGCATTCGAGCCCGACGGATGCGGACAATAGGCGAGGGTTACCGTCTCAGCAAGGTGAACGGGGACGGCCAAAGAAGCTAGTTCACCATAGAAAGATTTCCAAGTTCTCGGCATTACGTCTAGCCACCATCAACGTCGGTTCTCTCACATCTCGACATCGCGAACTTGCCGATCTTCTTAGAAGACGTAAAGTAGACGTTGCTTGTGTTTAGGAGACCAGATGGAAAGGTGAAAGAGCACGGGATATCGGAGATGGCTACAAACTTCTGTACAAAGGAACGAACAACAGCAGGAACGGTGTCGGTATAGTCGTCTCTGAAGCGTTGAGGAACAGAATCATGGCTGTAGATCGACTGAGTGACCGTCTCATGGGTATAAGACTAGATACCGGGAAGAGAGTACTTCGAATAATAACGGCCTATGCACCACAAGCAGGCTGCGAAGAAGCGGAGAAGGAAGAATTCTGGCAAATGCTTGATGACTACGTCAGCTCGATACCACATGAAGAGATGCTTCTCATCGGTGCAGATCTCAATGGGCACGTAGGAGAAGAACGGAGCGGTCTACAGAAGTGCCACGGCAATCACGGGTACGGAACGCGTAATGATGAAGGAGAACGTATCCTGGAATTCGCTACAGCTCATGAATTAGCCTTGGCAAACACATACTTCATCAAGAAGACCAATCACCTCGTCACGTATGCCAGTGGAGGACGCAAATCGCAGATAGACTTCTGGAGTGTACGGTACAACGAGCTGAAGTACGTGAAAGACAGCAAAGTCATCCCAGGTGAAGATTGCGTGCCACAGCATCGGCCACTAATACTAGATCTCAACATACCAATAGACAGGAAAAGGAGGGCTACGACAGAAGGTGAAGTACGCATCAAGTGGTGGAAACTCAAGAACGACGCCCGTACAAGAACGCTAATGGAATCCGCCTTGCCAGAAGTGGGAAGTGATCCAAATCATTCCTGGACGAATCTGAAGAACAACATCCATCAGATAGCTGGCGATCTACTTGGGCGCACGAAGCCAGGAAGAAGGAAGCTTGACAAGGAAACATGGTGGTGGAACGATGGAGTGCAGCTAGTGATAAAAAGCAAGAAGATGGCGTATAAAGCATGGCAAAAGACAAGGACAGAAGATGCACACCAGAAGTACCTAGAAGCGAAACGTGAAGCCAAGAAGAGAGTCAGAGAAGCGAAAGAAGCATACGTAGCAGAACTGTATGGCAAATTGCGTACTCGCGAAGGTGAACGAGAAGTATATCGGATCGCTAGAAGACGAGCAAATGCCGCAAAAGACGTTGAACACTTCTACCACATCAAGGACGCGCACGGAAGAATTCTGAGGAAGCCGCAGGAAATCAATGAAAGATGGAGGGAGCACTTCGCAAAGATGGCGTCAGCAAACAACGAATATGCGTCCACCGTAACATCCGAACCCGTGAATGGACCAGTACCAGCAATCACTGAAGATGAAGTCCGTACCGCCATAATGAAGACAAAGAGCGGCAAGGCGACAGGCCCCGATGACATCCCCAGCGAGTTCTGGAAGCAGTGTGGAGAGGCTGGAGTTTCGTGGCTAACGCGTCTTCTGAATCAGGTAGTCGAGTCGAAGAATATCCCCGATGATTGGCGCAGAAGTACGACGGTACCGATATGGAAGAATAAAGGCGACGTAGCTGACTGCTCCACCTACCGACCTATCCGTCTCATGTGCCATACGCTGAAGATCTTCGAAAGAATACTAGAGATGCGACTTCGAAGTATCGTGATACTGAGCTCCAACCAGTGCGGATTCGTGAAAGGATGCAGTACGACAGATGCCATTCACACCGTCAGAATGATGATGGAGAGAAGCAGAGAAAAGCAATGTGAGCTCCACGCGGCATTCCTGGATCTTGAGAAGGCATTCGACAGAGTACCGCTCTACGTTATATGGTGGGCACTGCGGAAGCACGAGGTACCAGAAGAATATGTTCGGTGGATCAGAATGATATACAAGGATGCCACCAGCTACGTAAGAACAGCAGCAGGACGTACAGAAGACTACCACATAGATGTCAATGTACATCAAGGATCCGTTCTCTCCCCTCTACTCTTCATCACAGTGATGGACACGATAGTAGAAGCTTCGTAAATCCACCTCCTTGGACCGTCATGTACGCAGATGATGTGCTCCTGATGGCAAGAAGCAGGAAGGAATTGGAGACAGACGTAGCAATATGGAAAGAACAGCTTGAACTACACGGTCTGAAGATCAACACCGCCAAGACAGAATACATGAAGCTGGGACTTCAAACGCCAGAGACGATCCAGATTGCAGGCACGCAGATCAAGAAGACCACGTCCTTCAAATACCTAGGAAGTCGCATCGCGGCAGACGGCACGCTCGAAGACGAAATAACCAGTCGTATAAACGCAGCATGGCTGAAATGGAGAAGTCTCACAGGAGTGCTATGCGATAAAAGGATGCCGCTCAAGCTGAAATCTCAGATGTACCGCACTGTCATCCGCCTAACTGCGCTGTATGGAAGCGAGTGTTGGCCGTGCACACGCAAGGATGAACGAAGGCTTGGAGTGATGGAAACCCGCATGCTCCGATGGACAATGGGTGTCACGCTGCTCGACCACGTCACTAATGATACCATTCGCGCAACGATGAAAGTGGCCCCAATAACCAAGAAAGTGCAAGAAAGGAGGCTTAGATGGTATGGCCATGTCAGAAGGCGAGAGGAAGAACACATCACCAGACTAGCGATGTCAGTAGAGGTTCCCGGCAGACGACCAAGAGGAAGACCTAAGTTGCGATGGACAGACAAAGTCAAGTCAGATCTGAGAGAGCTTGGAATAGATGAACGTCAAGCATTAGACCGTGAAACATGGAGGAGACTAATAAGAGTGGCAGACCCCGTATGGGAATAATGCAAGGCTAAAAAAAACTACTCATTCAGAAAGCTTTTTCACGTGAGATCGGTGATTTCGCGTGGATGAAACTTTTCGCAGTATGACAAACGCAAATCTGAGTAGGTTTTTGAATTTGTCACGGCTTGGTAGTAGCCATAAAGGCAATAGTCACGGTGAGCTACATTCTGTGCGAAAATCTTCTCAAATGCTGCTTGCTGGAACCTTGGCAAATTGACCATTTATGCAACCAATTCTTTTTAGCGCCGTTTTCGTTTTATAGTAAACTTTTGACCACTTTTCAGACTAAAGTCCGTCGCTTGCACATTTGCTTACCAAATACATCCACGACTTTGCAAAAAGTGGTGAAACGGAGCCAATTTTGCGGGACAGAAGCCAAGTGGATTCGTTTGGCGCGCAGTTTCTGAGGGATTCACTCAACGAATCTACTCGTGCCTTTGCATGTTGAACTTTCATGAAGATAGCATGCGCTATGCAAAATTTGGGCTTAGAATGGTGGCTAGAACACGCTGTACGAATTTCGTAACACACACACAGACACACACATACACACACACATACGCACACACACACATACACACACATACACACACACATACACACACACACACATACACACACACACATACACACACAAACACAAACACACACAAACACACACACACACAAACACAACACAAACACACACACACAAACACACACACACACACACACACACACACACACACATAAACAACCCTTAGCCCGTTATTATAAGGTATTAATCATCATACAAACATACTGGAATATTGGTCTTCCATCGTCTAGTATAAAAGCATAATAAAAAAGCCCTACCAAGCACAAAGTATTTTTGTAGTTTTCATGTTGAATAACCCCTATGGACGAAGAGTTTAAGTGAATGGAGTTTTCCAAATATTGGGCTACCAAGTGAATTAGTCATCAAACGTGATCCTCCTTTTTAAAGGTGAGAGTTATTTTCTTTTGCACTCACTAAAAAGTACTACTCTTTCTTTGCAAACATGTAAAATTCCACTTCAAGTAAATGCTTGTGTGCCGGCTTATCCGTGTTGCTGAAGCTTTTGGATTTATTGCAAAACTGAAATTGGAGCCTTGGGGCTAAAAGGCCAGGAAAAGTGTGATAGCAAACACAGTTTTTTCTCAAAGTTTAGGTCTGAGCGGCCAAACAAAATTCAGCGTTAGATTCTAGCTGAACACAGAATCTCACGGACTTGTGCATTGGTGCTTAGCTTATTTTACTGTCGTGCGAATCGCCCTACACCCCAATCGGCGGTCGCACGGCCTAGCTGGTGCGAGGGTTTGAGTTACGGTAGTCATTGCGCGCCTTGCCGCATCGTCTCTGCACCTTTCTGTGCTAGATGCGGTAGCAGTGGCACCTCAGTTTCATGTCTGTTCTATTTGATTCCCACTTATTTTTTATGTCAAGTTTTTAGTTCGTCTGCAGCCTCACGATGCTTTAGCCTCGAAGGTCTCTATCGTTCCGTACGATCAAGCGAACAATAATTGGAGTTCGGATTAAATCTACTACTTCAAACTAAGCTTTTCTGGGATACATTGAAATTGTAATCTAAGATGGAAGAAACTTCAAGAGCAAAAGGCTGTGGAGCCGTTCCCTATACCTCCACGACAGGCGGTGGATCTGTGCGGTGAACTCAGAACAGTCCACATAAGTTCATGAGATCTACCTAGACTCGCTCATCACCTGGGGCAGCTACTCCTGATTGTCGCGCACGCATAAATAGTGGGATAGGATGCGCCGTCTATAGCGAGCAAACACCTGTCTTTCGGATCAGACTTAAGTGCTGCATTGCTACCACAACCACTATTGAACCATGAATGAAAACCCATGAGCTATCTATGCTTACATTTACAAATATGTAATTTCAAAGCTTTGTGATTAAGAGGGTGTGCGGATTGTTCGAAGTCCAAACTGTTGTGTTACCTCGTAAGCTTGGACGCGACGATTTGGCAAGGTTTTGACTCTCTGTTGTCTCTTGTGAGCTTGTACACACTGTCGAGAGAATTTGCGTTGAGTGAGTCCTCGTTGGCTGATGTTGCTTCGTGGTAAATGATACATTCACCCTACAAGTAATTACATTCGTAATGAAAACCTCCCATGGCATCCCAAAGTTAGTAGTAGTTCATGATGATGTCCATGCCGACTAGCTTTACTATGAAGGAACTAGTATTCCTTTCTAAAGACAGAAACACTTTGTTGAGTTGCCTCACAGATGCACCAACAAAATCTCTCAGAAGCGCCTTGATAAAGAATCCAACTGAGGGCTACAGTACTGGTGGTCCAAGATGAATCTTCTCAGACTGTATGCATTGATCACTACATTTCAAACTACTGCAGTTCAGTTCGAAACTTACATCTTTGTACTCCAAATATGAGCATTCGTCGTCTTCGTAACAAAGTCGGTAGCAATCCTGTTTGTTCGAAATATTGTACACTACATTCTTTGAAGCGTAAAAGGATTCGTTGACTGGTAAGGCATCGAAGCTACACAAAGCAGGGGGGAGGTCCTAAAGAGTTATGAAAATATGTGCTTGTGATTTGATATGAACAGGGACTCGATCACAATTCCAAACCGCTTGCCGGGCACACCATTTATAATTACAAAGGTTTCACTTTCAGAAAACAGATCAACAGAAGCTAGAAAATTTAAAAAGACCACGGAGTGCCATGTACACCAAAATGCGCGAGTGATTGTTGTGGGAGAGCTTAGGCGGGTGATTTTCTTCGAATCCCAACAATTTTCATGTTGTCACTCGTAATGAAGGAAAGGTTTAAGCTGGAGTGGTTTCAGAAGCTGACGGAAATTGCAAATAAAGGGCCAAGCCCTTTCGAAAAGGTTAGGATATTTTTTAACTTTTGAGTAGATCTGTAATTATATTTGGAAACGAGGCGTGACGGCAGCCAAGTCTGGTTTTCCCACAAAGCTATAATAATTTTAAAAATTTAGAAGTTATTTCAACTGACTACAAGTGAAAACAATTCACAGTTTCAAGACCCATGTACTTTGAAAAAAAATTCGCTATCCATTCTCGCTCCTCTCATCAGCCCGCCACCGATGCACACTTATCCAAGCATTTGTCTTTAAAATTGAAGTACTAAACGTGGTTCCTACTTGTTCCCAAGACGATGAGGCGATTAAAAGCCATATGATGTTGATTTGCAGTGAAACCATTCCGAACCTGATCTACCGTCAGACGAAACTGCTAAATTAGACAGATGATTCCGAACTGAACTTACCACACCGCTCAAACTCAGCTTACAACTGGTTTGGGGTACCCCCGCCCAGCTTTATGTACCTTTATGGCCATCGCTCATTGTAAAGTGCCCACTTGCTTGTTAGATGGAACATGATTTGCTTAGCAACAAGCCATGGATTTTTGATAAGTTGGACGCATTCTTTACTTCAACGATCAAGAATTTGTGGCATAAGCAAAGCACCGATATACACGTAGTTCAAAATTTATATACAGGACAGAGTTGAGATACTAGATGTTGCTGCTAGCAACCGCGCTATATCCTAAGTAAAGCCATCATCTTCAATGATTGAGAAGTGATATCACTACTTATCCTCTATATATATAAAACTCAAAAATTGTTTGTTTGGAGGCTATGTGCTTTATAAAAACGCCCACTTCTGAACCGATTGAGATGAGACTTTGCACACATATGTTTTTCACTCTGGGGACTGTTATAAGCGACTTTTCACAAAAATTTGCCGGGCCCTTTCACCGATTTATTGATTTGTTTACTGACTCCTAGAAAAATGAAAGCTTGCAGTCATTATCAAGTCACTTCAACACAGCCATCTATCTGAACGGGGACGGTAGATCTCATTTTTACACGGTGGTTAGGCAGCATGCGGTGACCCTATGTGAGTCGCTTGGTGGATCTCTCTGTTCCTAAAGGTTCTCTCGCATGTTGTATTCTGTGCAGGAAAGCAGGCAAAGCGAGGTGGTCGGGTGGAGGTGAAGCACATGACAGCGGAGAGGTAGGTCCTGCCATTCTACTCAGGAGTGTATACCTCTTGACGGTTTGGCTACCCAGTTCTGTGTGAAACCGGGTATGCCAGCTATCACATTATCACATATAAGGGGAGGGGGGGGGGGGGCTCGTAGTGCAGGTGAACAATGGCCCGGGCTGGACCGGAAAAGAAAAGTCAACTAATACTGCATACTTCTGATCTCGCTAGGTTGTGATGACTGCCTAAGTCTGGTCGTCGTAAATTAGAGTCTCGGAAATTGTACTGATTGTCGGCTGTCACTGAAAATATCATTTTTGAAAGCATTCGGCATTAATTTGAACGTATATAAGCCGCGAAGCCTCAAGAGAAACTTGCTATAATTGAGATCTGTTGTTGAACGAAGGCCCAAGACTCTTCGAGGAGGCGAACGCTTTTTCGTTAACTTATTGTTAGTGTAATTAACAGGGTTTACATTCATGAGAGCCAGTCCTTGTAGTTTCATGTGTGTATGTACAATTTGGACTCTGAGTGCAAAGCAGTTTGTGCCGTTCATCAAAACCATGCTCACGTCACTTAGGCTCGTATGCACGTACATCCCCGCTGGGGAGAGGAGGGGATCTGAGAGGGGATGCGCCATATCTTGTTACTTAACGTATCTTTCTTCTTCCTTTTCTATCTTGCTTATGAAGGTTCTCATACCCTACTACCTGCGCATAATTGATGCCCGGTTACTGGCATAACTGATTAGATTTGTACTATTTTGTGTAAGTCAAAGTCATTTATCTTTCTGAGAAATCAATGGAAACGCCGCAAAATTGTACTGAGGATATACTACGGCACTGCTAAGCATGTTTTCGACAGAAAAAATGGAATCTGAAGATTGTGAATTTTTCGATGATCCCTAGCTTTTGAGCCAGGGATTAACGAAGATTTCGATGTCCTGAGATTTTACTTATTTTTACTTTAAACATGCTTAGCAGTGCCGTAGTATATCCTCAGTACAATTTTGCGGCGTTTTTATTGATTTCTCAGGAAGATAAATGACTTTGAAAATGAGAGGTGATCCCCTGGGGATCCCCTGGGGATCCCCAGGGGATCACACAAAATAGTACAAATTTAATCAGTTATGCCTGTAACCTGGCATCGATTATGCGCAGGTAGTAGGGTATGAGAACCTTTATAAGCAAGACAGAAAAGGAAGAAGAAAGATACGTAAAGTTGCGAGATATGACGCATCCCCTCTCAGATCCCCTCCCCTCCCCAGCGGGGATGTACGTGCATACGGGCCTTAGAATAATAATGGACAACCAGATAGGGTTTTTCACAGAATTTTTTCCTTTTTCTAGCAATGCTACTTTTTCGAACCTGTGATAGAAATCGAAAAATTGTCAGAATCTTCAGCCCATGGGTTTTACCTATACTGATTTCAGCTAATTACAAAATTTTCATACCAGACTTTTGGTAGAGAGCTTTGATAATAGGTGGATAGAAAGAAAATGCGATACAAAGCATTTTTTGGCATTTACAGTTGGCTTCGCAAAATTTCTAAAAGTAGTCCTTCGATGTTATTAAATCCCGTATTTGGTCATCCCAAACTTCACAGAACAAGAAAGAGAGAGCAACTAGTTTAATTTGATGCAGTTTTCTTGCTGATAGGTTTTTTCCCTTCCTTATTATGTAAAATCTTCGACAATGAAATCTTTACAATTCTTATTTTCAAACGCGTCCCAGGCAGTACCCAGAAAATTTGAAATCCAATATTTCGAGCGGCTAAATGCTCATTTCCTCGGTATTTTGGTGTTCAACACTGATTAATTGAGTTCAATTTCCGAAGTTTTATAAGTGTTTGAAACATTTGTGTATTCCACGACTCCGCAAAATTGAAAACTTTCGGAATAATTATTGAGAAAAAATAATGAACTGAAGAGGCAAATTTGTTGTTAAAAACTTTGTTAATCTATTCAACTGTCATCGAAGCTCTTCCAAAAGTCTGGAAAAATTTTTCTTAAATTCGCTTAACTAGGTAAGGTAAATCACGGGTTGAAGCTTCTGATGATTTTTTTGCAGTATTATTAGAGGACTTGGAAGAAAAATTGCTAGTTTGCATCGAACACTTTCAAAAAGTTTGTCACTCATTCTGAGTGATTTAAGCATGAGCCTGAAAAACGGCACGAACATTCGGACCGATCAATATGTAAAAAACCAGCTAGCAAGAGTCTTGCTGTACAGGAGCTCAGACTGACCTGTGTCGGGGCAGCAACTCAGAAGCTGTCAAGAACTACCACTTCAAAGACTGGTTCCAAAAGATATCCGCCGATCTGGCACCAACGTAGACATATCGTCGAGTCATTTGTGGCTTGATACGAGTACTGACACAGCATGCAAAACTTCACGAATTGTTAAACGAAAAGCCACTTAGAAATTCCATCTCCTTTTTATTTTTCATCGGTTTAATTGGATATGCTCTCGGTAATAATACACAATTCCAAATTACGAAAAACTAAGTCCTTGGTTGGCCACTTTTAAATGGCGCCAATTTCAATGCTAACTTCAGTGCGACGAAAGGAAAAAAAGCAAGCGTTGCTCACGGCGAAATTCTGTTACTCTCAGAACCGTGTATAGGCCGCTGTATGACGAGGGCGCAATATCTTTGCGCGCAAATGAGGCTTTATGAACCACAGAGCGCGCAGATTTACAATGGTGAAGATACGCGCGCCGCGTTCACACCCGTTCAACTAATACTGCTTCTGCACCTTCGTCATGCACTAGCCTTTACATGTAATCTATGCAGCAAATCTACAGGGCTTATCAGACGCAGTGTCGCTTGCATCAGCATCTCCGCTCTCGCGTTGAACTCTGCATCTCTTCCGCGAACATGCTCTCCGATCATTTTTCCAGGGCAAGCGTGGGAAAAGCGAAGTCTCAGTCGATTGAAAGCGTTTGAAGAGGATGTTCGCGGGAGAGACGCAGAGTCTAGCGCGGGAGTAGAGATGATTATGCAAGCGACACTGCGTTTGATAAGCCCTGTATACGAAAGCTTGTATCAGAAGCATTCAGTTGTTCTAATGCGAGCAGAGATTATTTTTTTGGAAAGCATAAGGCCCCGGACAGACTTCACGCGATTTGATCGTCGCGACTGAATCGCGACGAGACAATTGTTACAACATCATTCCATGCCGATCAACTTGCATTTCGGTGGTGATACTTTTCCAGCCCGAAAATTTTGAATGTGAAATGAAAATGAATGGAAATGTCGGCGATTGAGTCGCGACGACCAAATCGCGTGAAGTCTGCGGGGCCTAAAGGCAGGCACCAGCATATAGGACTACACTGTCCTAGATCCTTTCGTGTCCTTCTTGTAAATAAGATGGTTACTCATTGTAAGTTTCTCCCCGGATCGTAAACCTTTCCCCGTAAAGTAGAAGGCCGGTGCGACGCGAGCACCTCACGTGTACTACTCTGGCCGAAAACTTGGCAGAGAGATGGTAACACTTTGGAGCGGATGCCTTATGTAGCACTACATAGCCAAGCGCACTTTAACAGGAAGATCTGGGGTATTGAATGATCTTGTTTCGGCATTTCCTTACTTTGTAAGATACTCGGTAGTTATAGATGGTGATTCTTAGGGTCGCGTGCATTAACATCCCCGCTGGGGAGGGGATCGCAGCTTAGATGATAGTCTCATATCCTGAGGCTCCAGATATTTGGATTACAAGCTATGTACGCATCCCTATGTACCTATTTCCACTTCTTCGCTATGAGCATATCGATCAGGAGCGAGAAGCTGTACATGCCGCGTATTTCAGCTTTTTGTATGATCCTTTGACGGTCCCCACCGGCCGAGGTCTTCTCTTTAGAGTCATTTTTCTTTCTTCGAAAGTAACGAAAGCATTCGAGACTTGTACCGATTATCTAACCCAACAGTACTGAGCATTTAGCTGATAAGAACGAATGATGTTTTGGAATCATAAAATTTGCTATGAAACACAAGCGAAAGTTGGGGTTTATCTAAAAATTCGACGTTTTAAATACTCATCTGTCCTCATCAGCAACATGTTTAGCACTGTTGTGCTAGATGTTTAGTACAACTTTGAAAGGTTTTCGTTAACATCGAAGAAAGAAAAGTGACTTTGAAGAAAAGACCGTTGACCGCCGGGGATCATCAGAGGATCATACAAAATGCTGGAAGATGCGGCTTGTACGCTTCTTGCCCCTGTTCAATATGTTCATAATAAAGGATGGT